AGAACACGACAAAACAAAGAAGTAGGAGAGTGAAGGCGTTATCTTACTAGAGAAACCTTTATTGGATTGGGTGAACTGGTGGCCCCTCTTTTCGAAGAAGACCTGTTGCGTTGAAAATAGTTTTGTGAGCAAAGTTCAAGGATTATCTCACGAAAACTTTCAACCAAAGTAATAACTCATGGAGAGCAACTCACTCAGATATGAGACCGTAGACAATCGGTTGTTCAGTTAATCAATACAAACAAACCGAACATAGTTTAAATCAAACCAGTGTCTACCTGTTTGGTTTTCACAAGAAACATAAACTGTGATACGCACATCAAACTGTAAGATGACACCAAGATGATTGAATGTCTAAAACCTTTAGAAGTGATCCGGTGGATAGAACAACAAAAGCCCTAATCATCAGCAATAAAAAATATCAGATGCGTGAAAAAATTTCACACAGCTGGGAAGAGTCCAGCGCTCGTGGGGTCCGAACGAAATCCCATCATTGTAATTCACGACAGTCTGCTTTGCCAAAACTAATTTGTTCATCCGCCTCGTTGTAGAGGACATATTTGTCCATGTGAGCTGGGATTCCAAACACCCAAAATTCGGATTGCACTCCAACATCTCGAAAAGCACTGTAACATTCACCTAGTTCGTTCTGTTTGTAGAAATGAGGAGGAAGAACATTGATCAAAGTCAGTTTTTGATGCCTGAAGAAGGAGAGTGTGTTTTAAGAGCTGTTGAAGAGAAATAGACCCAGTCTACTCAACGGTTGTTTTGAACGCAAACGCTGGGGTTGTTATGGAGGGCGGGCGGGTGGGGGGGGGGGGGGGGGGGTGGTTCCAGTACCATCCTGACTGCAGACTTGCTAAACATGTCATTCATGGTCTACAAAGTGTTATATCGTGCACATACCCCCAAGGATTGTCAACTATCTTCATGCCGTTGCCTTTACCCAAACCACAGTCCTTTTGCTCCCAAACTGTGAACGATTATTAGTCAGCGGTTTACTGAGTAATAATGCGTACCCAAAAACCTTAATGATCCGGTTCTAAGTTTGTCTCTCACTAGGAATGGATCAACGGCATATGTTTCTCGGTCTTTTTGAGTATGGTTGCCTTCTACACTATTCTTGGTAAGTTCCTAAATAAACGTAACCACCTATTCTAATGGCAAAAAACAAACGGAGGCCGATATTTTCTCTGATCAGTCACTTATATCTAGGCTAATGTCCACTTCCTCTTGTACGTATAAACCAATGTTGTAGTATGTCTGGAGATGTGATGTGATAGCTATGGGTGCTATCGATTTGGAACGTGGACAAATCTTGTCCATCTGCCCTCATGGGAGAGACGAGCACCCAACAGTGAATTTTTCGGTGTAACTGTTCGCTTTTTGTTTGGACGTAATACTCTACCCATGAGATTGCTGAAAACTCTTTGAAAGCCCACGACCCGTTTTGCCATTCTTGAAGCTCATCAGATAGACGTAGTCCTCAAGTCTCTGTGGACCTTTTCTTCTACTTGAGCCCTTCCGTTCATACTCCTGTTCGGGGATTAAACCAACAGTGTGCATGCTACTTAGGCAGACCTAGTACCCGCCTACTTCCAAAGATTTCAAAAAATCAGGAGGCAAAAGTTTCTACTTTGGTGAGACAAACCAAGCTTCTTCCTGAATTTGCACTCACATAATTCGTTTTAATGTGGAAACTAACTAAATGGTTTCAAAAATACACTGGGACAAGTGAAACACTTATCTGCTCCAAACATTGAAAGTCTTATACGGTTTTTGCCAGTTGGTGTTTTGTCACTTGCCAGATGTTTTAATTTGAACCTGGTGCTAATGCCACAAGACCACAAGCCTCAGTTCACCCAGAGTAAAAAATGTGGCCGGGCGTCCCCAGCCCTGTTTATCTTGGAACCAGCAGCAAGACAAGTTGCTTCACTGTAAGGTCGAACGGCTGTTATCCCTAGCCAGTAACACTTCAGTCATCTAAACTGGACTTATCCGACACTGTACATCAGATAGTCCCACTGAAAAGACACACTGAAACAACTGACAACATTGTTTGGTCGTCCCTGAACATGGCTGTTATATAGGCAGGTAACTAATCATATATCTCGCTTCGGATATGTTTCAATCTTTATAAATAGTTGCACAATGAGGAAGGCTGAGCACACTAAAATTCCAAGCTATGAGTTCGGTAGCATAATGTGACTTTTGGGTTGTTTTGAGAGCATTATGAGGGAGTGAGACTTTTATTCTTTTGTATCGACCAACAGGGGGTTATATTAAGTTGCTTTTCCAGTCATAGCTCGACAAGTTCAAGTTTTGAGCTACTCTGTGAAGTTGCACTTGGCTGAAACATCCTGGTCCGGTCATTCAAGACCCAGTGTAAGGAAACTAGATATGTGGTTACTCGAGTCAAGACCGGGAGAACTAGGATATGCGATCATTTGTGTTGGAGCTGTGCCTAATTCTTCCTTGGTTTTTCGCATTCGTTTTCCGAAACAACTTAACTGACTTCTGAATTTCCTCAATTTGTAGGACTTTTTCAAGAATAACTCCTCACAAAGTGAGATGTAGACCCGACCAATGTGAAATGTGTCGTGTTGACGGTTGCAGATGTCTACTGTGAAGGCAAACAAAGCAAAAAAGGAAATATCTGAATAGTTAGCCCTAATTATTTACTGGGAATTCGGTGCCTTTCGGTGAGTCTGGGAAGACTGGCGCAATGCTAGATAAATTGTCGCTGGTAGATAAAACCAAGATGAACATTAGAGTGTGAAGTGAGGGAGATCGGCGACTCTTGGTGATAGTGAGTAGCCCACAGAAAACTGTGAACTGATCTGCAGAGCATAGTATAAAATGTGGAAATGTTGCATCCAGTCGGAACTCGGCGGCGGGAATATTTTCCCTCTACTGTTTTCACCGACGTACCGTCTTACTGGTTGGTCTGATTACGAACATTCGTGGATGAGTGACTGCTACCAAAATTAATGTAGTCCAGGTTTTGCAGTTAACGACATCTACTCATTTCAGATTTTTTTCTAAGGTTTTTCTACTCGTAATGAATGAACAGTAGCTAAGCAACAGCTGCTTTTTTCTCTCTGTGGAAATAGTTGTGCTGAATTTCTTTTGCCTGTATAATATGACTTAAAATGTCGAGAAGGAGACTCAGTTTCCAGTAACATTGTGTTTTGCTTGAACCCAAATTGGATGCAGTTCGCAGAATAGTGCGCCGAAGCACTAGAGATCAAAACACAACCGAAATGCGTCAACTGCTGTGATCGGGACAGCATGATGTCATGCACACCGGGGTAGACACTGTGGCTAGAGATCAAGAAGAAACTTTGGATTATAGCATTGTATTCCACCACGCTGTTTTGACTTTAAACTTTCCACAATTATTCGTGTGGTTTCTAAAACCTCTTTGACAGTCCCGACCAGTTTCGCTCCTCTTGGGTTTCAACAAGTACGTGTAATTTCTGAGTTCATCTTCTGTTCACGTTATGTTCTATTCGAAACTACATTGTACGAAACCCCCGAATTAAGCTAATTTGCACATCAATTTGGTTTTATTGAGAGACTCAACTGAATTGCAGCTGAAACTCTCATCCGTGATATTCTCTTTATGTTAAGCTTGTCAGTTAATAAGTTTTGACCAATTCAGTAAAACACGACAGTTTTTGTTTTTCTGTTCATTTCGTTCTGGATTTTCTCGCTTTTTTGTAAAAGAAGATTTGAAAGCCTCGACCCTAAAGAAAAGAATTACCCGAGCTTTAGACACTGCTTTCTGGACAGGAGGACATCTGTTCACGTCAGTGGAAAGAGGAGGCTCAGCAGTGCTGTTCAAGTTGGCTCCAAAATTTTTATTTTGAAGGGGATTTACGTACGCCCAAAAACGGTTCTTGTCATGGTGGCACATCGTACACAAATGAAATATCAACTGAGATTTCTTGTGGATGGAGCCAATGTATGCCGCAAACCTGGAAGGCCTGCACACCTGTTTTATCTTTATTAGAAATCAAAATCAGTGCGCATCTCACGAAACTCGACTTGAGAATCTCAAAACCGCGACCTCCAGGCTAGTAGACTGAATACCTGGTCATTTATTTGTTACTCTAGGAATCAGTCAATATATGAGCACGTGATGTGGATTGAGTCATTGAAGGATGAGTAGAGCTTGTCAATCACACTGCTGCTTGGCCACTCATGGCCAAACTCCTTCACTAAGCAGGAAAAGATGTTATTCTTGCCTTTTGATTTCAACACGCTGACTAGGAAAGAAATGGCAATTATCTTTGGCCTTCACCAAAATTATCACATNCTACACGACGAATCGGTGATAGAGTGTGCGCTCAGGAATCTACAATGACGGTAGTGGAAAGGACGAACAATCTTCTCATAATGAAGTGTTTGCTTAAAAATAGCTCAGCAGAGCTTTTTGCCAATTGAAATATTTTCTCCAACATCCCATTATTCCCAACGGATAATACAAACATCAAAGCCAATCCTGCGAGTTATTTCGATACAAGTTACACCCGTTGGAATCTCGTCTGCGCTTTTGAACATGCTGGCCATGATTCGCAAGGTTTTCGATCAGTTATCACAAATGAAGCTTTTGTACGTAAACCTCAATGTGACAGAGATACGAGTCGGCTCCTTTATAGATCTCACAGTTTCTTCAAGCCAGTAATTGATCATTTCCACGAAGCACGCGAGTAGTAGTCAGGACCAAAAAGCCAGAAAGGGGGGCAGAACATTAGTTCTCTAGAGACTTATTTAAAGTTTATTAATACATGGCTGATGTGCAGTAAAACTGGGGTAACAAATCTGTTGACGGCATTTTGGAAACCATTTTTCTATTTCATGAAAATCGGCTGAACAAATACATGAGCAAGCGTACTATTCTGTTAGCATCATGTAAGTGTCATTCTCTCCGCAAATACCGTGCAACACACCGCCTCGGAAGAACTTAAGCATGCAAAAAAGCAATATCACTGACCTTCTTCACGTAGTGCACCGGTTTGAAAGTCACTGATCTTGGGCCACTGAGCAGCTCCACAAGATGAAGTGTGTCAACTCTACCACAATCGACGGCAAATCCTAAGGTGGCATGTCTGGTAAAGCCCAAATGGTGGTTGATGCGATCTATTTTTGCTTTAGGTCCTTTGATGAATTCTGACGTCGTATCCATTACCACATAGTCCAGCTGAATTTGGAGGTCTCCTAAACCAACACTTAATCTGTCAAATTGTATGATAGGAAGTGATGATTATTAACCATCTGTATTTAGAAGTTTCGTAATCGGTATCAGTCAGTTTCATGTCAAGGAATCAACCATGAAAATCGAAAAATCAATAAATCCACCATACTGACACCAGTTTTTGTCAAATTGGCTCAGGCAGTCTCAGCGCAATCAACAATCATGTAACAGAATAAGTAAGGGTGTGGAATTACGAGATAAAAAAAACGATATGATATTGTCTTGCGGTGGCGAATACTAAGGTTTGCGGAGGTAGAAGTGTGACTAGAGATGACTACAGCAACAACCTGGTCGTGATGACCGGCCGCTTAATTTTATGTAAGGAATCAATGTCAGTGGGTTCTTGTTGTCAGTCTCTATCCAGATTGACTGACTGAGTGTCTGGAGGAGTAGGCATCACGGAATGATTTTGTGAGACTTGGCTATCCTCTTCCCTATCAACTTCTATTCCTTTCCTCACGATAAGGCTTCCAAATAAATTGTGCTTATAAGACGCCAAAGTGTCACTGTCAAACACCGATGTAGTGATGTCGATGATGTAAATGATGACAATGACGATTATGACGACGTCGACGAGGAGGAATAGATTGCTTATGATCCTGCTGATTATGGTGTGGATTGGGAACACTTATAGGGTAATCAAACCTCGAAGCCGGAAAGAACAGGAACCTTTAGTAAATGACCATCAAAAGTCCGAGATTTTCACTTTAATGTGAAGAAAAGTAGATAACCTAAATGAGATTGT